GAGTGAGTGTTAGTGTGTGAGTGTTAGAGTGTGTGAGTGTTAGTGTTAGAGTGAGTGTTAGAGTGTGTTAGTGTTAGAGTGAGTGTTAGAGTGTGTGTGTTAGAGTGTGTGAGTGTGAGTGTTAGTGTGAGTGTTAGAGTGAGTGTTAGTGTGTGTGTCTGCTAGTGAGTGTCAGTGAGTGTGTTACTGTGTGTGTCTTAGTGAGTCTGTTTGATGTCTGTTAGTGAGTGTGTGTTTGTCAATGAGAGTGTATGTTTTGTAAGAGGGTGTATTTATGTCTGTCGCTGAGTGTGTCTCTGTCAGTAAATGTGTGTGTCTGTTAGCTAGTGTGTATGCGTCTGTAAGTGAGAGTGTGTGTGTCTTCAGCACTTACCTTTCTCCAGCGCCGGGCCCCCTTGGCGCTGGGGATCCCTCAGCCTCTCAGCTCCGAATGCGACCGCGCACGCATTCAAACCGCCCATAGGAAAGCATTACTCAATGCTTTCCTATGGACGTTCAGTGTGCTCCTCTAGCGGCTGTCAGTGAGACAGCCACTAGAGGCTGGATTAATCCTCAGTGAAACATAGCAGTTTCTCTGAAACTGCTATGTTTTCAGCTGCAGGGTTAAAACTAGAGGGACCTGACACCCAGACAACTTCATTGAGCTGATGTGATCTGGGTGTCTGTAGTGGTCCTTTAAGTGTGTGTGCATCTGCATGCACTGGCGTACATACTGCGGTCGCAGCCCTGTAACCCCTGCGACCAGGTGCCCACCGCCATGTGTTGCGGCCCGGCCCGCGTGCGGGGGGGGCCCACGGATCAATTTTCGCACCGGGGCCCCATGGGTCATGTGTACGCCACTGTGTGCACATGTGACAAAGGTTAATACGAACTTGTATATAACTGAAAATAACTGATAATGTAATCTTTGTAAGTCATAGAAGCAGAAGGAAATATATATTATGCATTGCTTTGTTCTCTATGTTGCCGTAAGGTGTGTGAAAACGTTAAAATGACCACTAGTCATTCAGAGTGAATATTTTGCCCTGGCTTCTAGAAATTCAGCCCTGCTGAGTGTGACACTCCTGGGTTGCAGTGGCAAGGAACTTTTTTGGGTTGTCTAATCGTACAGGATTTGAAATTTTGACCTTAAAAACCTGAAATCTAAAGTAGGAAAGAGTCCTACATTTCAGGGGTAGCCAAATGAGATTGTGCCAGGAACAATGAAAAATAACTGTAATAATTAATAATACAGTTAAGACAAAATCATTACACCTCATAGATATAAATGTAAAGGAAATTGTCTGTTGGCTTGATCATTTGATGAACTACCTAATGGGATAAAGGTAGTATAACTAGTAGGCATGTGCATGGGAAAAATTTTCGGTTCGGCATTCCAAAATTCGGCACTTCGGAAATTCGGTAATTTCAGAACTTCGCGACCTTGGCAATTCAGAACTTCGACACTTCGGAATTTCAGAACGTCTCTTGCAGCCGCTTGGTAGATAACTCCCTAATTCCCACGGTATTAGGTAGTTATCTACCAAAAGGCTGAAAGACCTAAATTGGTCTTTCAGCCAAATTTACTAAAACTAAGTAAAAATTACTTAGTATTAGTAAATTGTGCCCCTACTTGCTATATCGCGAGTAGGGGCATGTCTATTAAACAGTGAGCAGCCAGTGGCTGCTCACTGTTTAAAAAAATAAATAAATGGGTCCCCCCTCCTGACCCCCACCTCTAGTCACCCGGGGGAGGGCGTTTTTTTTTTTTTATTTAGGGCCTCCACCCACCGCTCAGGGGTGGGGGCCAGGGGGGGGACCTAATGTCCTCCCCCCTCATTCTAATTTAGGGCCCCCACCCACCGTTCAGGGGTGGGGGCCAGGGGGAGGACATTAGGTCCTCCCCCCCAATTAGTATTTTAGGGCCCCCACCCACGGCTCAGGGGTGTGGGCCAGGTGGGAGGACATTGGGTCCCCCCCTAATTAGTATTTTAGGGCCCCCACCCACCGCTCAGGGGTGGGGGCCAGGGGGGAGGACACTAGGTCCTCCCCCTCATTCTAATTTAGGGCCCCCACCCACCGCTCAGGGGTGGGGGCCAGTGGGGAGGACATTAGGTCGCCCACCCACTGCTCAGGGGTGGGGGCCAGGGGGAGGACATTAGGTCCTCCCCCCTCATTCTTATTAAGGGCCCCCACCCACCGCTCAGGGGTGGGGGCTAGGGGGAGGACATTAGGTCCCCCAATTAGTATTTAGGGCCCCCACCGCTCAGGGGTGGGGGCCAGGGGGGAGGACATTATGTCCCCCCCATTACTTTACTTTAGGGCCCCCACCTGCCGCTCATGGGTGGGGGCCGGGGGGACGACAATAGGTCCCCCCTTCAGGTTAGGAGGGGGAGGGGGACTTTTTTTTTGTGGCTGTGGCTGCTCACTGTTTAATAGACATACCCCTACTCGCAGTATAGCGAGTAGGGGCATAATTTACTAATACTAAGTAATCTTTACTTAGTATTAGTAAATTTGGCTGAAAGACCAATTTAGGTCTTTCAGCCTTTTAGTAGATAGCTCCCTAATACCGTGGGAATTAGGGAGTTATCTACTTATTCATTCCTGTCATTACATTGACTGGCTAAGTAACTTACATTTTATATGAATGTATGTTACTTGATTGTTGTAAGTGTAGCAAATGCTTACAGCTGAATCCATGTTTGTATACTTTTTATTTAAAATTTTAAACAGTGTAACATTTTTCTTCTTCCACTGGGTAAGTATATTAGTACTTAGGCAATACTGTGCTTCGGAACTTCGACACTTCGGAAATTTGGTAATTTCAGAACTTCAGGACCTCGGTAATTCAACACCTCGGCTATTCGGACATTCGGAAGTACCCAAATGTCCGAATTGCCTGAAATTCGTCCAAATTTATATTCGGCCCAAAACGAATTGCACATGTCTAATAACTAGACATAGATCAAAATAAGAGGCAAGAATGAGGGGGAAGCCATCCACAAAAGAAGGGACACGTGAAGTAGGCATGCAAGCTTCATCATTGCCATTCAGAACTAAATCAACCCATTGCTGGCAAATGCAATTAGCTCGAGGTAGGTAGATTCGAGAGCAGAGGACAACCATGTCGTCCAATGGACCAAAGTGGAGGTTTATCTTTGATAATTTATACATCCAAAATATAGCAAAACGCTCAACAGATTTGGATTTTTGTGTGTAACATGCAGTCAACAAAAGTGCAGGATGCTAAATAAGAGTAAAAACCTGTTACCCAACAGGTATATAAACCAAGTAAGTAAAACAGGCTCAAAGCATGCCTTACAATTAAATATAGAGAAAATCTTTATTCAAATAACAGAACATAGGAAAACACAGAATATAAAGTGCAAACATGTAATAGTTAAAGCCATATAAAAGACAACATGAATCCCAGGCACTAAAAGGTGCTCACTATACAAATCCAAAGGTAAGTAAATAAAGAGCATACTAACCCAGGAGCTAGAGACTCACTGCCCTAACGTTTCGGCGCTATGCCGTTCTCTGGGGGGGGGGGGGGTTCAAAGTGAACGGTGCATGCCAAATTCCCACCTTTATACCCCTACAATAAAGTGCTAATCAGTGATAATGAAAAACAACTGAGGGAAATAAACCCAGATGTAGACTCTACCCAGATACTGTAAATGTTCACCGTTTTATAGCCGATGGTATGGTACCTATGACGTCATCGAGTAAACCTCGGAAGTATCTACGGATCGTGATATGGACCAAAATGAGGGAGAGCAAAGTAATATAGGATCGTTCTGAATAAATGAGAACTAGAGAGCCTAAATCGGTGCTGGCAAACCTTTTTGAGCCCGAGTGCCCAAACCACAATACATGCCAACTTTTTTCCTCAAAGTGCCAACATGGCAATTAAACCTGAATACTGAGGTTTAAGTTTAGAAAAAACAACTCATACAGTTGTCCAAACTAATTCTCCTCTTCTCTCCCCCCAGCATCTTCCCTTCTCTACCCACAGCATATCCCCCTCTCCCCCAGCATCTCATCCTCCTCCTCCCCCTTCTCCCCCCAGCATCTCATTCTCCTCTCCCCCAGATTTTCATCTTCCTCTCCCCCAGATTCTCATCTTCCTCTCCCCTTCTCCCCCCAGCATCTCATCCTCTCCCATTCTCCCCCCAGCATCTCCCCTCCTTCTCTCCCATTTTCCCCCCAGAATCTCATCCTCTTCTCCTTCAGATCTTCCTCTCCTCTTCTCTTCCTCCTCTCCCTTTCTCCCCCCAGCATCTCCTCCTCTCCCCCAGATTCTCCTCCTCCTCTCCCCCAGATTCTCCTCTTTTTTTTTTGGTGCTGGTGGGGGTTTGAAGTCCACCCAGGCTCCCTACCTGGTGGATCCAATTCCTTCCCTGTGCCTTGAGGGGGAGTGGGCGCGAGGGAGCACTAACTCACGTGCTGTTCCAGCACTGCTCCCTCCGCTGATGCCGCCGAAGCCCTGTCCTGGTTTCCCTTAGTAGGTTATCCGAGAGTGTGTTCCTGAGCGTTTATTTCTGGTTATTGACTATGGCTTCGTTTGACTTCCCTGTATTCTGGTATCCTTGACTTTTGGCTTTCCCTCATCGTTGTGTCTCATTCTGTGTCCCAGACCTCGGCAAGTATTCTGACTATTCTCTGGTACGTTAAGTCCGGCCATTCTAAATCCCAGTAAGACGTTACCTTTAGTCCTAGGTGTGATACAGTTCTGCGTGCTGGATCAACTAGTATCCTGACAAATATCAAGACAGGGATTGAGTCTATTCCCCCTATGTTTGATTTTAGCTCAAATAATAAAGCTACGGTATTTGTAAAAAATTTTACGAAAAACTGGCATGTTTTAAAGGAAGATCCAGATATTCTTCCCTTTATGGGGAATCAACCACAATTTATTTTCCGGGCAGCGAGAAATTTTAACTCACAGCTTTTTAGATAAGGAAAAAACAAATGACAATTTTTTAAACAATTACAAAGGTTTTTATTATTGTGATAGTTGTGTATGGTGTAAGTTAAGACAAAGCTCAAACTGAAATGTTAAAGTTTTTTCACTCAGGAAAACTCCAAATAAAGAACATAATATTCAATCCCTGATTACATGCAATACAACAGATGTTATTTATTTACTCACCTGTCCATATGGTTACCAATACATAGGCAAGACAACTAGGAAATTAAAAGTACGCATAAGCGAACATATTAATAATATAAAAAAAGAAGTTCTAGAATTTTTAGGGATAGAAAAAAATCAAAGTCCACTGAAGGGGGGGGGGTTGTAAAGATAACATTTTAAGCAAATCCGAGATGAGATTGATGTTTACTCTTGACACCCTAACTCCTGAAGGTTTGAATGTGGTCTTTGAAATAACTTCATTTTTGTAATCATTTTGTTTTATTTGACACTCCTTATATTTATAAATCAATTTTTATATATAAGTTTTATAAGTATTGGCATGTTTTATTATTATTAACTTTTTAAAGCCCTTTTGCCTCTTATTCATTATGTCTTTGAGGATTTTTTTTATCTTATGGAATGTTTATTTATATGTATTTAAATGTATTATATATATTTGTATCAGCTATCAAGATATGGCACCAAAACTACTCCTTTCCACTGAATATCATTCAAAAAAATAATGAAAATACAGCTAATAAGGAAAAGTATAGACATCTGCTCAAGGACTGCGGGGCGGGTATCACCAACAGAGCTTAAAGGACCACTATAGTGCCAGGAAACAAACTCGTTTTCCTGGCACTATAGTGCCATGAGGGTGCCCCCACCCTCATGGCCCCCCTCCCGCCAGGCTGAGGAAGGGGTTAAAATCTTACCTTTCTCCAGCACACTGCGCTGGGGACTCTCCTCCTCCTTTGGACATCATTTTCTCAGTTTCTCTGAAACTGCTATGTTTACAGCAGGCAGGGTTAACCCTAGAGGGACCTGGCACCCAGACCACTTCATTAAGCTGAAGTGGTCTGGGTGCCTATAGTGGTGCCTATAGTGGTCCTTTAACGACACAGTTTATGGTTATCTGACTATTTCTGTTAATTATATTATATGTTAATTATAAAACTTTATTGACTATGTACATGTGATTGGAGATACGGAGACAATAAGACTGGTTAAAAAGTAACCTCTAGGAAAATCTAAAACAGCACAGTAATATTTTTCACCTGCTATATACTGTAATCACTATGACACGCGCAATGTGATTGTAACTACCTCAAATACTGTCAATACCAATTTTGATACATATGTCAATATTAAATAAAGAATTCAGCCAGTCTCATAGGAAAGCATTCACAATGCTTTCCTATGGACGCTGGCGTCTTCTCACTGTGACTTTCACAGTGAGAAGCGCGGAAGCGCCTCTAGCGGCTGTCAATGAGACAGCTACTAGAGGCTGGATTAACCCTAATATAAACATTTCTCCGAAACTGCTATGTTTATAGAAAAAAGGGTTAAACCTAGCTGGACCAGGCACCCAGACCACTTCATTAAGCTTAAGTGGTCTGGGTGCCTTTAGTGGTCCTTTAAAAATTTACACGAAGTGTTCCCAGCTTAGAGCCAAGGCATCAATAGGCTCTTAAAGCGGCACTGTCATGCCGAACTTACCTTTCCTCAATCTCTTCCTCAGGGCCGGTGCTAGGATTTTTGACTACACAGGCGAAGATGCATTTTGACGCCCCCCCAAAAAAAATAAACAATGCATCTTCACCTCTGTGTCTCGTAGCCCCCTTTTGAATTTCTTACCCCCATTAGTGTTGCATATCCCTTTAGTGTGTCTCCTACAACCCCTCTTATGTATTTCTTACTTCCCCGCTAGCCCCTATCTATCTCTCTTTTTCTCCCACATAGACATAGATACAGGCAAAAATACATACATGCACAAATACACAAACATACAGACACACAACCATACAAGCACACAGACATAATTTTTCAGGCACACAGTCACAAAGATATACAGACACACAGTCATAAAAGGCACACAAACAAACACAGTCATACAATCTACACATATAGGTACATTATCGTACAAACACAGACATACATTCATAAAGACACAGGCACTCACAGAAATACATACACAGACATAAAGAAACAGAGATAGGCATACAGAGACATACATACACAGACAAACAAACAAAGAACCCTGCACACTGATACCGTGTAAATGCTCCGGCCATCAACAGAGGTGGATGCTCCGTGTCAGGCAGACATTGCTGGATCCACCAGTAAAGTCTTCAAAAGGAATAAACGCAGGCAACACTCCAATAGTAAGGATGGTATATTTATTGGTAGGTGAACCACCCCATAGAAAGTGTGATGTTTCAGCTCATGCAATAAGGCTCTGCTGACAACGCACTTTCTTTGGGGTGGTTCACCTATCAATAAATATACCATCCTTACTATTGGAGTGTTGCCTGCGTTTATTCCTTTTGAATACATTTACACAGTCATACAGAGACATACATACTGTATGTCTCTGTATGACGGTCTGTGTATGTACACAGGATAGCTAAAAGATAGATCCCCATCTGTCGTGCAACTTCAACAATGCTTTGAAAGCTGGGGCTCTACCGATTCCCCATGCTTGCAGGATTGTATTTAGCATGGAGCAGTATTTGTGTGTTTGACTGTAAGCATGTGTTTGTATGGAGTATGTTTGTATGATTGTAGCAGTGTGTTTGTATGTAGTGTTTGCATTTGAATGCAAGCATGCATTTATGTGTAGTGTTGGTTTTTGAACGCAGGTGTGTGTTTATATATAATTTTGGTGTCTGATACAGAGGTGTGTTTGTATGTAGTGTTGACGTTTGCATGCAGGTGTTTATTTGTGTGTAGTGTTGTGTTTGAATGCTGAGATATATGCACATATACACATACACTGCCACACACGCACACACTGTGATACACATATACAAAGATACACACACTGACACATGCAGATATACATATACACAAACTGATACCCATTCAGATAGACACACAGGTACACACAAACACTGACAGACATACAGATAAACACACAGTGACATACAGACACACATACACAATGATAGGGAAGAAGACACACAAAGACACACTAACAGACAGACAGACACACACACACACAGACATTTAGATACACACAGACACATGGACAGAGACATATACATACACACACACACTGACAGACATGGATACACACACACACACACTGACAGACATGGATACACACACACTGACAGACATACACACACACTGACAGAGATATAGCACACACACACACACACCGGATAGACATACATTACTACACACTGACAGACACACAGATACACACACACATCTGACAGACATAGATACACACAGACACACTGACAGACATACACATTACTACTACCACACTGACAGACATAGATACACACACACACACTGGACAGACATACACACACTGACAGACATTTAGATACACACAGACACGCGGACAGAGACATATACATACACACACACTGACAGACATGAATACACACACACTTAGACATAGATATAAACACACACACTGACAGACATATACACACACACTGACAGACATGGATACACACACACTGACAGAGATGGATACACACACACTGACAGACATATACACACACACACACTGACAGACATGGATACACACACACTTACAGACATATACACACACACACTGACAGACATGGATACACACACACTGACAGACATGGATACACACACACACACACTGAGAGACATATACACACACACACTGATAGACATATACACACACACTGACAGACATACACACACACCACAGACATAGATACACACACACACTGACAGATATACACACACACTGACAGACATAGATATACACACACACTGACAGACATACACACAGACACGCTTGACAGACATACACACACACACACTGACAGACACAGATACACACTGACAGACACAGATACACACACACACTGACAGACATAGATACACACAGACACACTGACAGACATACACACACTGACAGACATACACACACACACTGACAGACATACACACACACACTGACAGACACATAGATACACACACACTGACAGACATACACACACACACACACACTGACAGACATACACACACACTGACAGACAGATACACACACACACACTGACAGACATACACACACACACTGACAGACATAGATACACACACACACACTGACAGACATACACACAGACACGCTGACAGACATACACACACACACACTGACAGACACAGATACACACACACACTGACAGACATAGATACACACACACACACTGACAGACATACACACACACACACACACTGACCAACAGGTTCAGAAGGGGGGCTTACCTGGGATCCAAAGTGCTGCCTGAGGTAGTTGGGAGTTGGAGGAGCTGGTCCTGCCCAGCCCCCTCCTCTCTGCCTTTTGCTGCTGTAGTCTTCTTGGGAGGACTTCCTCCCATGCTGATTAGATGGGGGCCCGTAGCTCCGCCCCTGCTGGGCACCAGTCGCGCTGTGTGCTACAGAGGGAGCAGGGATATGACGTTCATATCCCCGCCCCCTCCACACAGTACGCGGCACTGCAGGTTGGCGCTCGGCCACGCTACAAGAAGTGACCGGCAGGAGAGGGGAGCTGTGCGCTTCTCTCCTGCCGGCCACCCGGACATTTGCGCCCCCGGGCCGGTGCGCCCTAAGGCGGCCGCCTGTGCCGCCTTATGGACGCGCCGGCCCTGCTCTTCCTCTTCTCCCCCTCTCTCAGGATCTGTTCTTCTTTTCTTCCTGTCTTCTTTAGTTTTCTTTAAAATCATAAGACAAAGTAGGGACTCTTTGCCTTATGGAGGATTCCTCCACTTGACCACAATTCTCACCTTTCCTCTGTGTTCCCGCGATGCTTCCTGTCATTTTACACTAAACTGCCGAATTGCGTTCTAACTGAATGAGAACAGTATGTTCGTTTGTTTTAGAATGCAATTCGGCACTTTATTCGGATTGGAATTTCATTCGAATGAATGAAACTCCGATTCAATTCTTGCTGTGGCTGCATCTTGCAGCCGCTTAGTAGATAACTCCTTAATTCCCACGGTATCAGGGAGTTATCTACCAAAATGCTGAAAGACCTAAATTGGTCTTTCAGCCAACTTTACTAATACTAAGTAAAGATCACTTAGTATTAGTAAATAATATGCCCCTACTCGCTATACCGCGAGTAGGGGCATGTCTGGTAAACAGTGAGCAGCCTGTGGCCTGTGGCTGCTCACTGTAAAAAAAAAAAAGAAATTGGCCCCCACCCCTAAACGACAGGTGGGGGCCCTAAAGTAAAATAAGGTAGGAGACCTAAGGTCCCTCCCCCACCCCTGCGCGGTGGGTGGGGGTCATAATGATAATGGGGGGAACCTACTGCCCCCGCTGGCCCCCACCCCTGGGTGGCGGGTGGGGGCCATAATGATAATAAGGGGGGGGACCTACTGTCCTCCCCCCCGGCCCCCACCCCTGGGCGGCGGGTGGGGGCCATAATGATAATGGGGGGGACACACCTACTGTCCTCCCCCCCCGGACCCCACCAATGGGCGGCTGGTGGGGGCCATAGAGATAATGAGGGGGGGGACCTACTGTCCTCCCCCCCGTCCCCACCCCTGGGCGGCGGGTGGGGGCCATAATGATAATGGGGGGAGGGAGGGAACCTACTGTCCACCCCCCTCCGGCCCCCACCCCTGGGCGGCGGGTGGGGGCCATAAACATAATGAGGGGGGTTCCATTGGCCCCGGGCGCTGGGGGCCCTAAGTCAATTTCCCCCCCCCCAAGGTGACTAGGGGTCCCCAAGCCCCTAGTCACCAACCCCCCCCACCCAAATAAAAAGTCCCTACCTACCCCCCTCACCCTAAAAAATAGTGAGGGGGAATAAAATAACTAACATCTAAAATAAAATTAAACTTACCATTCGACATCTTCATTTTTCAGCCCCAAAAAAGGCCAAATAAAAAACCATCATAACCGCAGACTGAGCTCCGCAGGGCGGGGGAAGGCTTATAAAGCCTTGCCCCGCCCTGCAATTAGGCTAAGAACACTCTGATCTGTGGGTTTAAGCCAATCAGAGTGCTCTTTGTCATTTTACACAGCGTGGGAAAATTCTAAAGAATTTTCCCACGCTGTGTAAATGACACAGAGCACTGTGATTGGATGGCTTGAAATCCATCCAATCACAGTGCTCTGTGTCATTTTACACAGCATGGGAAAATTCAAAAGAACTTTCCCACGCTGTGTAAAATGACACAGAGCACTGTGATTGGATGGCTTGAAATCCATCCAATCACAGTTTTTTTTTTTTTTTAAGTTCGACGGTTATGATGGTTTTTTATTTGGCCTTTTTTGGGGCTGAAAAATGAAGATAACAATAACAGGATGCTCCACGAGTTGCTTGATAAGAGCACTTTGATAAAGACTGTTTGTCGAAACGCGCCAGTGCAGTTATATATTTGAGATCTTTTTATATATTTTACATTTATTTTGTAATAAATTTGTTCCTTGTTACTTGCTATCTTCGTGGTTTCGACTTTGTGGGAGCCCAAAGGGAGAATCTATATCGAGCAACTCGTGGAGCATCCTGTTATTGGTGCCAACCCCTGGTCTCAACAACTATATTTGTTCCAAGGCGTTCTTGGTCTGAGTCCACTTTAGCAGGCTCAGAAATATTTGAGTGAGACCAATTTGTATTTACACATTCCTTTATTGTATATACAGAGTTCACTATGGTCTACTATTTTTTTCTCTTTTTAGGTATCTACTCATTGATGGTAATATTTCATGTGTATGTTATTTGTACACCATTATTGTGCTCTCACCACTTTTGACATTTTTTATTCACTATTTTTGTGTGGTTTGGGTGACCTACACTAGGTGATTGTAGCATTTGTATACTTCTTTTATACCTTTTGTATTTACTATTATTTCTAACTGGATGGCTGACCACTTCCTTAAAGGAGCACTATAGGGTCAGGAACACAAACAGGCTCAATTTAAAATTCTGGTTCTTGCTTTCAAATCTCTACATAATGCTGCTCCCACCTATCTATCCTTCCTAATACACAAGTATGTCCCGTCTAGGCCCTTACGCTCTGCTGAAGACTTACGTCTCTCTTCTGTCTGTACTCCCACCTCTGATGCTCGCCTTCAAGACTTCTCGAGGGCTGCACCGTTCCTGTGGAACTCACTTCCCTTCTCCGTTATAAAAACTGCAAAAATTACACTTGCAGGGTTAAGGGTGATGGGAGTTGGCACCCAGACCACACTAATGGGCAGAAGTGGTCTGGGTGCCTGGAGTGTCCCTTTAAGGGGTTAAATGCCTAAAATGTTTCTACCACTTTGTAACATGTCAGTGTGTATGTGTACACATATAATCTGTTTGTTGTAATGAATTTCATTGATCCAACCATGTACCTACTTTTGGGCCACCCTGTGTATATATAGTAAGATAGTACATTCATTTGATAATTATATGCTTTTGGAGTTCATTTAAAAAAAAAAATAATATTAATTTATAAACATACTACTAAAGCGTGTCCATTACTACAGCTCTGTCAAGATTCTTAGCTTTTAGAAAGAGACTACGGTATAGGAGGAAGATCCCCTGACTAGAAAGAGCACTTCTAAAGCATGTATTGTGTGGAGTTTACCGCCATTTTATTCACTGTAAACGGACTAACATCCTGCAAGATGGCCGCTGGAGAGGGTTTGGTGGACCCTCAGTGAACGCCACCAATAAATGGCCGAGTAGAGCTAACAAAAATTTGCGGGGGAAACGATTCGCGCTTTGTTGACCCTCCTCCCCCCCCGTCATAAAATTCGTCTATTTGAACCCATTCCTCTGGATACGTTTGCAGCAGCCAAACCATACTACATAACGCTTGGGGTGTGGCTAATGCAATTGCTCCGAGTACACCCATACACCACCCTGGATCCCTACCCCCAGTTTTGAGCGTTGTGTTCTCTATCGCTTAGAACATCACATTGTTCACCTCCGCTTACCTGGCGCACAAATCTGGATTTTGATTGACGCAACGACGGCCAATCGCTACGGCGCTTTCCTTGGTCACGCCTCGTTCCCACTGTCCGCTCAGCAGTGACGTCATCAGTCCCATCCAGTGGCTTCGTTCGCCTTCCAGCCAATTATCGTCGTTATTCCAGTTTCGAGAGGCGGGAGATCGGAGTCTATAAAGGACCCTGCGAGTTCGCCTTACGCTCAGTCAGCTTTCTTTCTTTTTTTATTTTTTTTAAAAACAAAAAAACGTATTTTGGAGGCGGAGTTCTATTCGTGGTGTGACCGAGCAGGACCGCGTGATGGGTAAGTAGTAGGCCGCATGTCGAGGTTTATTGCCTTGGAAGCCAGCTTGGCACATTGTGCATGCCGTGCTATGTGTGCTACACAAATGGCTTCCTCACAGTCCACGTTGGACTCTATTGGGTTATTCAGTAACACTTAACCCATGGGCCATTAACAAGGTGCGTGGGAAAATGGAGCAACACTAGCCATAATGGAGCAACACTAGCCATAATGGAGCAACACTAGCCATAATGGAGCAACACTAGCCATAATGGAGCAACACTAGCCATAATGGAGCAACACTAGCCATAATGGAGCAACACTAGCCAAACTGGAGCAATACTAGCCATAATGGAGCAATACTAGCCATAATGGAGCAACACTAGCCATAATGGAGCAATACTAGCCATAATGGAGCAATACTAGCCATAATGGAGCAACACTAGCCATAATGGAGCAACACTAGCCATAATGGAGCAACACTAGCCATAATGGAGCAACACTAGCCATAATGGAGCATAGCCTTTCTCCAGGTACGAGCTGCACCGAACCGCCCCACCGCCTTTGCTGCGAGTTCGGCCTAACATGCCTTTCTCCAGTAACTCCATATGTAGCCGATTAGGGACTAGATTGATTTAGAAAAAAACTCGTTGCTTCCAGCTGCTTATGAATAGACTTCAACGGCCGCTATTGTGTCAGACTCGGGGGTAGGCAACCAGCGATGCTCCGGATGGTGTGGACTACGATTCCCATAATGCTCTTCAAGCCATAGTGCAGGCACATAGTCCACAACATCTGGAGTGTGGAATGGTGCCTTCCTCTGTTCTAGGTAAAACTTTAATTGTCTGCCTGACTCTTTTTGAGGTAGTACTGCCAAGTCTTTCCCCATCCCCTTATAATAGTACTTTTTAAAAGCGGCCTATACAGAAGGTGCCCCCATAACAGTTGCATCACAGGCATTGTAGTGCAAGCACAGCTGGAGGATCATCTATCTACCTATTGGTCCAAGTCCAGCGTCTCTCATCCATGGGCTTTTTTCGATTAAAATGTTTTACGGAGGTCTTTGTAGTGTCTGTGATTTTGTCTTTTAAATCAATTCGCTAGACCTTATTGCATTCAACAGTTGAGATTAAGCCACATGTTGAGAGCCTATTTTGAAGACTTATGATGAGCAATATTTGCCTCTCTAGCTGTTATAGAGGGATCCCCATGATTCTGTCATTATAGCTGAAAAGCTGGCTAAGGAAGCCAGCCACACTCTACAACACCTGGGGTGCCAAGTGCTCTAGTTATTGGTGCATCGTGCTACCTTCCAAAGCTTGGGCACTTAACTCTGTTAAAGTAGTTTTGTTGTTGTATAGCATCATTGTACTGCAATCATGATATCGCAGGCCATGCAGACACTACTATGTAAATCGATATGCATAACTGTTTAATAACTGATTGAGATCCATATTGATGTAAGAGCAGATATTGTCTGATATAAATAATACAAATTTGGTGGGTTCCAAGCTTTTAAATTTTACCCATCTAATTAACATTTTAAATGCACTGTTACACCCCCTTCTCTTTTGATACCTGATAAAAAAACATAGATGACTATTTTTTTTAGTCTGTAAATGATGAGTCTGGTATTTTCTGCAAAATATATTCAATCAGGAAAAGATCATACACAATCTTTTCAGTTCAATTAGTGAAGTACTGCACATAAACACCTTAACTTGAAAGGTAGAACTTGTCACAAAAATATGTGCATTTTTAAATTTATTTATAAAACACCTACTAATAATGCAGCGCTGTACAATAGATGGACTAACAAATAGTTGTATTAAAGCAAATTGGGCTTACGGGATCAGAAGGTGCTGAGGGCTCTGCTCAAACCAGTTTACATTCTAAGGGGAATAAAAAAAATGACACAAGTAGTAAGGGTAAGATATATTTCATATAATAGGAAAACTAGGTTGAGTAGGTAAGTTTACAAAGGGGGCCTAATTTTTGTATGGCACTCTTGTAGGAGATAAAGCAAGGTGCTTCTGTATGGTATAAGGAGGGAAAGCAATTAACTTAAGTCACATGTTTGCTTGAATACCTGCGCTGCATCACTTAGTATCTCAATGCATCTTCTTGAGGAACAAGTGCTGTCCACTGAGTCAGTCATGTAATTTTTGCAGGACCACATCCACAAATTCCTCAGGTGGCTGTCCTTGTGGCAGCTGGTAGAGGTAAACTTAAATGTAAAAACTGCCTTTTCTCAGGAAAGGGGTTGTTTACAATGTTGAGGTTGTAAGGATGCTCTTTTTGCCCTACAACCTCTTCATTAAGTTGTAGTGGTTTGGGTACTGAGCATCCTTTTAAGTAGTCAAAACAGCAAATTGTTTGACTACTTGGGGTAATCTGGACAGTAGTGGTTTTTGTAGTGTTAGTGTAGTCATATGTGCATGTTCTGTGTAAGAGAAGGGTAAATAATGCTTGCCGACCTCTTGTAGATTTTTCCAGGAAACGTAAGCGGAGTCGCTGGAATGATGAAACGCCCGACCAGAAAACCATTATCCCAGGGATGCCTACAGTTATTCCACCAGGGCTCAGCCGTGAGCAGGAAAGAGCTTATATAGGTAATTTCTACAATTTTCTTTTTAATCCCCTAACTTCATTCTAAAACTTTAAAGTTTCAATGCTTATTTGGAGTAGAGAATAACTAAATAAATGTTTATGTTTTAACACACCATGTTTGACTTGTTTCCTCAAATGTGAAAGTATTTTTAATAATTTGTTTTAGTCCCGTGGTTTAGTTAAAATGTTATCAGTTATTTTAAGCCAATTCTCATGCTTTCAGAATGAGAAATTGAAGTGATCACTATGCTGTATTTTTGTAGCGTACATTATTGCAGTTATTTGGTTCAATCTTATCTTAATTAGAAGCTAACACCAGACAAAATATTTTTCCTTAAAGTCAAATTAAGTTAAAACCCCTTTAGCTACTTACCTTTCTCTAGCGCTGGGCTCCTTCTGTGCTGGGGTACTCTCCTCCTCCTGCCGATGTCAGCGGCGAATGTGCGGCAAGAACCGCGTGCATTCAAACTGCCCATAGGAAAGCATTACTCAGTGCTTTCCTATGGACGTCAGTATCTTCTCACTGTGAAGATTAACTTGTGGATTAACCCTCAGTGTAAACATATCAGTTTCTCTGAAACTGCTATGTTTACAGCTGCAGGGTTAAAACTAGAGGGACCTGACACTCAGACCACTTCATTGAGCTGAAGTGGTCTGGGTGCCTATAGTGGTCCTTTAAACTTCATTTTCATTTGAGATGGTCTAATCTCCCAACTGCTGGAACAAGAGTTTAAAAAAAAAAAAAAAAAATTTGCCCTCTTTTATTCATTCCCTTAGAGCGGAATTAGTGTCATACCAATTTATGTTGTAGTATTGGTACCATTAGGCTAAAGGAGCTGTCCCTGGTGTTTGGTCAAGCAGTTTTCCCAGACGTTTGACCAAATCCAGGGGTTTCTGGGACAATCACAGCCCCTGTAGCTTCTCACCAGGATTGCTATTGCAGATGTTCCCCTTCCAAGTTAAAATATAGATGAAGGTAATATTACTAACACCACTCTTTGCTTGATCAGCTAACATTCTCAGCCAGAATTTTTATTTTCTCAACTAAGTATTAAGTCAGCTATCATGTTTCCATACACTGTATTGCTCATTGCTCCTCACTTGGTTAAAGACACTCCAAATCCCTAAAACACTTTAGCTTGCCAAAGTGCTTTATTTATGCAGTCATTTTTTATTTTTATTTTACAAAATGTGCAAAATTCAATCCAAAAGAAATGAGTCCCTTTAATATGCTGGTCTCTTAATAAAAAAAGTGTGGATCTGGCCTGCAGATAGGCTCAATGCCCTGAGTGCACTGCATAGTGTGAATGCATTTATTAAAGGGACACTATAGTCACCTGAACAACTTCAGCTCAATGAAGTTGTTCAGGTGAGAACTATAGCCCCCTGCAGCCTTTCTGAGAAAATAGTGTTTACATTGACAGCTAGGAACACCTCCAGTTGCAGTCACTCAGAGTGAATCAGGGGGACTTCTGAGTTGATGGAGGCATAATATGCCTCCATCCACTCAGATCTGCTGTGCACGAGCATCCTGTGATTAAGTAACTCCTCCCACTGCATGCAGACACTGAACTTTCATTGATTCAATTCATCTCTATGAGGAGATGACTGGCCAGGGCTGTGTTTGAATCATGCTGGCTCTCCCCCTGATCTGCCTCCTTGTCAGTCTCAGCCAATCCTATGGGGAAGCACTGTGATTGGATCAGGCTATCACATGTCAGCAGACTGCTTGTTTTTCCTGAGTCTAACAGTATGCAGATTTACAGCTTTTGGCTTGAATACAGTAAGATTTTTATATTTATGGAGGCATGAGGGGCCCAGGGAGCTAGATGGTCGTGTTAACACTATAGGGTCAGGAATACATATAGTTGCACTGGTGACTATAGTGTCCCTTTAATATATTTGCTCTGAACTTACAAACTGCAATTCTCTGGTATCCCACATCTGAGGATAACCATGGAACAAACTAAGCACAGAAGACCTAGATACACCCAATAAAAAAAATGCATAATTAGTAACATGCATGTTTTTATTCAGGGTACATCTAAAACACTATGTGCACTACAGCTTTGTAGTAGTTATTGTGCCAGCAGTGCATGCCCAGTGTATGTAGCCCAAGTTACCCTTCTTTGCTCTCTAATATGTCTCAGCCTAGCAGGATTTTCTATACCCTTTTCTAATCCTACTCTGACCCAAGTCAATGCACTGTCCAAAGTTGCTATCATCGGCTTCCTCTTTGTAGATTTCCACTGATTAGAATAATTACACTCAAAGTGTACTATTAATTTACCATAAGATTGTATAAATATGCCTGCTGCTGGACTAGGTAATACTATCGTGTTTTTTTGTGTGTATTTTATCTGTTAGGAACACTCCATTAATACACATGAAGTGTGTGTATATATATTTTTTTTTTCTGCAGGTTTTCTTTGAAGGCATATGGGGAAAAAAAAACAGCTTGCCAAAGCCACATATGTTTTGTCTGCAGCCTTTGTAAGACATTCTCTTTATCCCTGGTACAGACTGAATTGAAGCTTCTTGGTTAAGCTTCAAGTGTACAGAGGACTTTCCTTTCACAAAATTAGCATACAGTTTAACCTTCTGTGTCTACCACTTTCATTAGTTTTATGTAGCCAATGGAAGTTGAAGAAAACCTCCCTTGCAATCTTCAGATCTAGGGATATGTTACAGCAACTCAGTTCTAAAAGTGCCCATTTCTATTGAAAACAGCACTTGTATTAATTTAGAAATAATTAGAATAAATACACACAGATCATTTTAGCAAGATGAAGTTTTGTTTTTACAGTGGTCATTTAAAGAGACACTGTAATTATAACAATTTCATCTCTTTGAATTGGCTATAGTGCCCTGTCAACTTCCCTCTTTTCGGTGTTAAACCATTTCTAGCTGTTTAACATTAAATAAAGGTGTCTGGCCACCCACAGTCTGGTCCCTATTGGGGGTGTGGCCAGGGCATAGATTCCTTGTAGAAAATCAATGCATCTCTATGAGGAATGTTAAAGGACCACTATAGTGCCAGGAAAGCATACTCGTTTTCCTGGCACTATAGTGCCCTCAGGGTCCCCCTCCCATCCGGCTCTGGAAGGGTGAAAGGGGTTAAATCTTACCTTTTTCCAGCGCTGGACGGGGAGCTCTCCTCCTCCGATCCTCCTCCTCTCCTCCCCGTCGGCTGAATGCGCACGCGCGGCAAGAGCTGCGCGCGCATTCAGCCGGTCGCATAGGAAAGCATTATCAATGCTTTCCTATGGACGCTGGCGTGCTCTCACTGTGATTTTCACAGTGAGAATCACGCAAGCGCCTCTAGCGGCTGTCAATGAGACAGCCGCTAGAGGATTTGGGGGAAGGCTTAACCCATTCATAAACATAGCAGTTTCTCTGAAACTGCTATGTTTATAAAAGAATGGGTTAACCCTAGAAGGACCTGGCACCCAGACCACTTCATTAAGCTGAAGTGGTCTGGGTGCCTAGAGTGGTCCTTTAAGTGTCTCTAGGAAGAGGGTGGATACCACTGTGCAGCACTGCCCCAGGAAGCACCTCTAGTAGCAATCTGAGTGGCCAGTGGAGGTATCCCTAGTCTGTAATGTAAACACTGCATTTTCTCTGAAACTACAGTCTTTACTGCAAAAGGCCTGAAGGGAATGATTATCTTACCAGAACAAATACAATAAGCTGTATTTGTTCTGGTGACTATAGTGTCCCTTTAAAAAGGGTTTCGGTCATGACAATACAACATAATCTTAAATTAGAATATCAAAATTCATCTATACATTGTACTAGTAAACTGCCAGATTTATCCAAAGATAGCAGTTAATAAACAGTTATGGGAAGCAAGCCTGTTCTTCCCAAATAAGGGTATATGGAAGAGGTGTGTCTTAACACCAACTAAAAACCAATTTGATTTATGGGGTTAATGGAAATAAATTTCAATTAGTTTACCGTATTTTGAGGAGCAAATTATACTATGACATGATTAAAGCCAGATGGTTAGAAAACTGCCCACATATATTGCAACAGGTTCACTTTAAAGAACATGCCCTTGTGCACTTTGTGGTTACGATTTACCTGATTGCCTCAACATAAGACCTTGTTGTGCAGTTTGTCAAATAATCCTCTGCTTAGATCTGTATGCAAAGAGCTGGAGAACACTCCTACAAACGATTCTCCTGCTCTGTCAGATATTCTCCCAGCACACGTTTCTTATTATGCGCAGTTATAGTAAGTGGTCACCAATGAGCTGGCAGACAAGCTATCAAATTGGCAACATTAGGGAGAATGGCCATGGTTTGTGAAGTGTCCCCAAACAGGTTCAATTGCAACAGAGGGCAGAATCTGGGGTGGTTATTCAAACAGTGTAACACCCATCAGTGCTGAAGTTTAAAGAAATAAAACTGCCAAAGATGGTCATGTAACCGCTTATATGGCTCAAAGTGCAGGTGCAATTCTTGGAAACAAACATTGCGAACACTCTACACGTTTACACAGTTAATTAAAAGAAAAAAATGGCAGTAAACTCGTATTCTGGCATTTGGACATTATCCTCTCTGTCAACCAATCTGTCCATGGTGTACTACAGTCCAGTCTGATGCTTTGTGTACCTACAATGCATACACAGAAATGACCACTCTTAACCAATCCGCTCAATCATAGAGCAGGAACTAAAATGAAGCATGATGTGGACTCATGGGGCTGGCAAGTGTTGGCGGGAAGTGGAGCTTTATTAATATGGAAGGCATGAAGCAGTTGTCATTGTTGCATGCATGTTTGGGCAGTGAAGTATTAAATAAGGAATAGATAGATTGAAATAAAGAATGGCTGATTTTTTTTAAATTGGCTATGAATTCTACTTTGCACTGGAAGAAAGATGTATGTGGTGATGTCGGTGTGTTCTTGTGCTGTTGAGTTTAACATGGCTTAAATAAGTTTTAACCTATCCTTAGTATCTTACCATAGTAGGTCTTTAAACAATTCCTTCAATCTGTTCAAAACTAGCTGTAGATCTTGATAACCATGGCAAGAACTGGTTAAGTGCAGGATATTTAAAAGTTCCCAAAAATGTTGTTCTTTAAAATTTTACAATTAAAGTAGATGGACCACCTCCTATTCCATTTTTCTGGTGTTAGTTACTGTTAATTGTGTTTTCACATTGTAAACTGCAATCTTGTATATCAAGAAACAAAAAATCAATTTTATACATAAAATTTCTGTTTTTGTAGTGTTATATCTTAGAAGCTTTGTTTAACCACTGGTTTATGATGTCGGCAAAGTAATGTTGGAATATTTTGTTTCCAGTTAAATTGTAAGGTTTAAAATGTTTAAATGTGAGCAGCAATGTCAATCACATACGCAAAGTTTCAGTTATTTACAATTTTGTTTTGATTTGTTTTCCAGTAGTTTTGTTTTATTTTCCTTTTTTTTTTGTTTTTTTGGCAACAGCAATAAACTATGCTTTTTATTTTAAAGACCTTTTTTTTTTTTAAATCTGTTATACCTTAATAGTGGTCCTTTGCACCTGAATTATTACAGTTGCATTTTTTTTTTTTTGAGAAAATGTGTTATTGGCACACCATCACTCTCGAACTGTTTCCATTATCATAGAGGCCAAAGAAACATACATCCACTAGTAAGGCAGTGATTGCATGAATTTTTCTATGAACCCTGCAAAGTTAAATGGCTCCAGTGGTTGTTGTGCATGAATTAAGTTAACCCCCCCCACCCCCACAAAAATTTAAAATTTTTTAAGTTTTGAAGTATCTCGTCAAAATGAACTAGTTTTAGGTCTGAGGGTGTATCACTACCAAGGTAGTATAGAATGGACCAAAATTGTTACTATACAGTTGCCACTAACCCTTTGACATGTTCACCCTTTTTCATAATCAGATTTTAACTTGTTCTCTCTTGGTGATTCAGAATGTTGTGGGTTTAATTCTTTTTTCCTTGTTGGGTTTATAACAACTTTCTCCCGTTCCTTTTTTTTGTTTTCTAACCTGCTTTCTTCCAGTTCAACTGCAAATTGAGGATCTGACTCGCAAGCTTCGCACGGGAGACCTGGGCATCCCCCCTAACCCAGAAGACAGGTTGGGAAACCCCCTCCATTCGCTTGTAAAGCTGACAGTAACGGTTTCACCTTCTCTTGGGTTCTTTAATTTCTATATTTTTGTTTGATGTGGGATTTGTATTAGAATTGAGTGTCAGAAAACAGTTTTTCTTGCTAGTTTTTCATTGGCAATGTTAAGATTTATAAATATTGCATAAAACAGATTGCCAGTAATTGGTTTGGGACATTTTGCTTTTCAGGCACTTAATGGTTATTGTTGTGCAATGTTTTAAATTGTGCTTTCTTATGGTGAACTAAAACTATATATAGGCCGCCAGAAAAGTATTGTAGTTCTTATAAGATATCTGTATGGATTGCAGTTAGACCTGGCACATAGTCCCAATGTGTTTAGAAGTAGTGTGGAGATGAATACGGATTTCTTCTGTTCTTAAAGGGATTCTCTAGTGCCAGGAAAACAAACCTGTTTTCCTGGCACTGTAGAATATTGGAGTGCCCCCCCCCAATCCCACTTCAGACACTTGCCTGAATCCAGCGCTGATGTCCCTCGGTGCTGGTTCGGGCTCCGCCCACGCTTCTCCCCCGCTGACATCTGCCGGCGGGGGAGACCTAATGGGCGTGCGCATTAGACCTCCCCATAGGAATTTTTTTTAGTACTTTCCTATGGGGATTCTTTCGACGCTGGAGGTCCTCATGCATAGCGTGAGGACGTCTAGCGTTTTTTAGACAACTAAAAATCGTCTAAGAAGCCAGAAGTCCCTCTAGTGTCTGTCTGTTAGACAGCATCTAGAGGAGTACTTAACCCTGCAAGGTAATTTCAGTTTATAAAAACTGCAATAATTACACTTGCAGGGTTAAGGGTGATGGGAGTTGGCACCCAGACCACTCTAGTGGTCTGGGTGCCTACAGAGTCCCTTTAGAAAAACACTATAGGGTCAGGAACACAAACCTGTATTCCTGACCTTATAGTGTTAAAAACGCCTTCTAGCCCCCCCTAAATATAGTAATATCATACCTGTATTCCAGTCTGCTGGTACTGGCTCTGCCTCCTTGACTGACATCATCAGAAGTGGTGATCTCAACCAATCACAATGCTTTCCCATAGAAAAGCTTCGGATTGGCTGAGATTGTCAAGGAGACAGACCCTGGGGCAGAGCCAGCACAAGCCAAACACAGCCCTGGCCAATCAGCATCTCATTAAATCAATGCATCTCTGAGGAAAGTTCAGTGTCTGATTGCGGAGAGTGAGGACACTGAATGTCAATGCGGCACTCTGTGCAGCACTACTCTTGGAAACACCTCTAGTAACCATCTGAGGAGTGGTCACTGGAGGTATGTAATATAAACACTGCCTTTTCTCAAGATAGTGTTTACTGCAAAAAGCTTGCAAGGACGGACTATGTTCAATAGAACTACAATAAGCTGTAGTTGTTCTGGTGAGTATAGTGTCCCTTTTTAGTTTGATTTTGTTTGTGAAATTACTAGACCAAGACTTAATTCAGATTAGTCTTCACAAAGGATATATGTAACCACACAGTATAAACCCAATTTTACTGAAGAAACCCAGAAGTGTTAGGAATACAGGTTTGTATTCCTAACGATTGAGTGCCTTTGATCTTATGTATTTTCAGATCAGCACCACATGTGCAGCAAAAATTTAGAAAATTTTAAGTTTTACTTGCCCTTTACCAGCGCCTAAGCTCCCAAGGCGCTGCTTAGCTTTATTCCCACGTGATTTTGCGGTGGCTACATGGACTATTCCACAATGGTCTAATTGAGTGCTTCAGGGCTGGTTGCACACTTCCATTGAATCAGTGCTATCCAATGGGAGCTTCTGCATCACATCAGAGCTTTACTCGGTTAGTACATCGTAGGTGTCAATAGAGGAGGATTTAAAGTAACACTGCGCTGCCCAAATATAACAATGTTAATTAGATATACCACCAATGAAAACATGCATACATCTAATCATGCATTATTTCATTGGGGTATGTTTAAAAAAAAAAAGTGCAAAAGCTGCATGCAGTTCTCTTGTCTGCTGCCTTTGCAATTCCTAGCCCTTTTCCCCAGGCCAGACTCTATTTTTATTTCCTTCCTTTTTAGTTTTTTTCTTTCATTAATAAACGCTTTCATTTTACTTTCTTTTTTAAACATTTTTTTACAAGCATTATGTGCTGCTTTAAAGTTACATCAGTAATTATTTGTCAAATTACGCTCATAGAAATAAAAAGTAACATACGTAACTACAACAATACATTAAGAATTGCTGATCAATTCCTTTTTAACTTATTTCTTAATTATTTCAGCAGATTCTTAAACAATCACTAAATAAGCCGACAAAACATTTTGGCATGGAGACCATTTTCGTTGGGTTATATTTAACTCAGTGATTGTTTAGATTGTTCAATTTACATGACACTATATTCACCATATTCATTTTCCTAGTTTTGTTTAGCCAACCAGTTTTCCCATATTTTCTTATGCAAAAATAATTTGTCTTGCTAAATAATACATTTTTTCCTTTTAAGCACTGGTTAATTATCAGACTTTCCAATGCAGTTTAATGATGCATCTTTGCAGTTGCCTTCCTCTTGAGTTAAAGGACCACTATAGTGCCAGGAAAACAAACTGGTTTTCCTGGCACTAGAGGGTCTTTAGGTCCCCCCCCACCCTCAGGATCCCACTCTTGCTGGACTGAAGGGGTTAAAACACTTACCTTTCTCCAGCACCGGGCTCCCTCGGCGCTGGGGAACTCTCCTCCCTCTGCCAACGTCAGCGCCGAATGCGCAAGCATTCTCAATGCTTTCCTATGGACGTCCAGCATCTTCTCACAGTGAGAATCGCGGAAGCGCCTCTAGCGGCTGTCTGTGAGACAGCCACTAGAGGCTGGTTTAACCCTCAGTGAAACATAGCAGTTTCTCTGAAACTGCTATGTTTTCAGCTGCAGGGTTAACACTAGTGGGACCTGGCACCCAGACCACTTCATTGAGCTGAAGTGGTCTGGGTGCCTATAGTGGTCCTTTAAACACCACTGAGCTAACCAAACCAGAAAGTAGAAAGTGACAGTTTCTATTGGAATATGTACCAGTAAAATGAACAGAAGAAAAACACTCCTCACATATAAAGCATTTCAGAAAGCTGAAGTGCTTTAGGTGTCTGGAGTGTCCCTTTAACCCAGCAATGTAAGCATTGCATTTTTGTTATAACTGCAGTTGTTTTATATTGCAGGGTTAAAAGGAGGTGAACTTCATTTAGTTGAAGTGTCCAGAGTGACTTTAGTAGTCATTTAAATTTTGGCTGCACATACAAACTCAAAGCAACATGACTACTTCAAATCACGGATGTGGTTTTGGTTCTTGGTGTAACACTTTAATGACTCAAAGCTTTGTTTTTTAAATTCAATCTAGTGTTCACTTTCTCATAAAGAAAGGTACATGCATCATATGCTGCAAGTAATTTCTTAGTTGCAGCAGAAGTGCTTGAAGTGATGTAGAGAATTATTTAACTCTAATTTGATAAACCTGTTTTTGCTAAATTGCTTGTTTTGTCTATTTGGTGATTATTGTTTTTTAAAAGTTGTAAATGTTAAAATTGTAAAGTTTATCCTGCTAAGATTCCCTTTATAGGTTAAATCTGAGGAAAGCTAGATCGTTTATTACTTCAGTTGATTAGAAACAGGCATGCTCAAGGTGTTTCTAGCAAATCCTTTTTGGTATTTAGCCTGTCTGGGGAAATAAATGAAAACTTGCAATGTTTTCTGATCACTCAATTCTAGTTCTAAAACCACAGCTAACCATTTACTTGTGAGTCTTTATAAATTGTTGCTGAATGTTCACCTTGGATTTTTGCAAAGTTTTTGGTTTGAATAAAATTAAAAATCCTTTGTAACTTAAATTTTTTTGCAGAATCCAATGTGACCACTTGGCCAAAGTGTTGGGTTTATTCCATATGCACTGTATATTAGTCTATTTGGGGGTTTCTAAACTGCATTGCATAAAGGCAGAGAGAGTGCTGGTTTAAATGTTTTCTTCCTGATTTTAAAACAGGTTCAGCCTTGTGCCTTATTGAGCAGATAGTTAAAACCTGTTCTATACTGAGTTTAGCAATGCAGAATTTTGATCTACACTTGTCAAGACAGGTTGCTAGATCATTCTTTTGCTCAAGTGTGTGTGGTTTTTTTTTGTTTGTTTTTTCCGCTTAAGTGAAATCACCTAGTTACTTTAATGCCAACCATACATGTGCATATTTAATGTTTGTGGATGACGAAACAGAGATTCAAGTGATGATTATGCAAGTCTAGAGTAGATACTATATACACTAGTTATTTTAAACATATTGTGAAGGCAGTAAAAATATAAATTCTATTTTTACTGCCATTTACTTTTCATGCTGTTGCTGTGTATATATAGGATTTGTGATTATGCTAGTTTACTAATATTGTTTGCCTGTGTTTTCAAAATATTGCAGTTGTTTACTATACAAATGTGTATTTGTCTGCAGCTTTATATAGAAACATACAATTATCTAAGAGTAGCATATATTTAATGCATACCCACTTATGGTTTGCACTCTTGTGATAACTTGGGCATGTAAATTTCCCTTAAACATTTGCAGCTGTTCCATTATATTAGCATGCCTTTATAATGTTTCAGAAACCCAGAGCTGTATTAAGAGAAGTTACAATATCAGGTTTTTACAATCTTAATCTAATTAATAATCTTCCATGTGATAGCATTAATTAATTTTTGGGTTCTATATGCGAACACATGTAAAATAGTGATTTACTACAAAACTCATCTATAGGGTACATTCTCAGTTGCTAGTGGGCTGGGACCTTAACAATCCAATTTCTTTCAAATGTGTCAGCAGCCATTTTGTTTGACTCAATCATATTTGGAGCGTCAAAAGGCGCTTAAATTGCAGTTTCAGTTTGATTCTTATATCCCTAACCTAATCCTTTTTTCTGTGCTCCTTATGTGTCATTAACCATTATTTGTTGGAGGAAATTCAGGTTTGAAAAGGTAACCCATTTACCTTTCTAATGGTTAATAACCTTTGCACCTTTTTAAACAGGTTTAAGCCACTGGGCCCCTTTAAAAAGGTTTATCAGCAGAAGTGTATTAATAACCCTAATCTTTGTTTTTTGTTTTTCCCAAGCAGTCCTCACATTAAATGTACTTTCAGCCGCGTAATTAACTTTTTGCAGCGTTAACCAGCTGATTTTCTCTTTAATAGCAAATGAGTTTTTATTTTTGCCCAACTCTAACTATGTCCTTGTTCCCTCTTCATCATATATTTCAAACTTGTGTGGTAGAATTGCACACAAATGAGTTTGCCTGAAGGATTTTCGAATCTGATCATATAATCCACCTGGCATTATTAATAATGGAGGCAACATACAGGAACTTGTCTTATTCTTGCATGAAAGGGATACTATAGGCATCAAAAAAACTTAATTAAGCAGTTTTGGTGTATAGAGAAGGCCCCACCAGTCTCACTGCTCATTTATCTATTTAAGAATTAAATCACTTTTGTTTCTGTCCATGTAGCCCTAGCCACACGTCGCCTGGCTGTGACTCACACAGCCTGCATGACAATGTCTTCATTTTCAAATGGAGGTGTAGACATTTTTATCTCCTGCTCTTTGAATTGAACTATAATCACACACAGGCGGCTACTGCAGGATCTAGAAGCTATCAACTGAGTAGGAGATACAAAACTCTAAATTAAAGAGAATGTGCAATAAAGGAAGTTTTAAACATTAGATGTCACTTCACAAGAAGTGTTTAGTAAGGCTGTGCAAGTCAAATGCAGGAAGGTGTGGCTAGGGCTGCATAAACAGTGATTTAACTCCTAAATGGCAGAGAGTTGAACAGCGAGACTGCAGGGGCATGATCTGTACACTAGAACTGCTTCATTAAGCTAAAGCTGTTTTGATGCCTATAGTATCCCTTTAAGGATAATGTTAAAAATAAGCCGACTTATGTTAATTCTGGGAGTTTCCTGTAGAGTAAAGAATTGTCTTAAAGTAGTGCTTGACATAATTTAGTTGCAGTGGCTCCTGAAACTTGCTGGTGGTGGAGTCTTTTAAATAGAACCAGATGTGTGTATACCTCTTCCCAGCTTTAAAAGAAATGATCCTAAATAGGTCTGTCTGACACGTGTCAACTGCCATTTGGTTTCCATAAGTAAAAATCTAGTATGTCCTTACATAGCTTAGAAAATACATATTCCTTTTTATATAAAAGATTTAATGCTTAAATGTTAATTATTTTTAATTTGGCAGTATGATTGTGCAGGCAATCTTTTTCGATAGGAGCGTTCATTGGTGATACTGTGCACCATTTACAGGTGTAGAAAAATAAACAAATGTAGTTTTAAATGATGAATGTGACTAAAGAATAACGTACCATTCTTTTTAACGGCATTGTGTTAAATTAGCTTCCCTAGTTACACGCTGCAAAGACAGTGACCTGTTTAGTTATAGGTTCTAATGATTACATTCTGGCCGACACAGAACATTCCTCAACAGATGCGCAAGAGAACATGCCAATTCAACATGTTATGTTTCTTCAAATTTACAACTTTGTTACCATATTTTTATGCAATATTCTATATAAAAGCTTTTTTTAACAGTGTACATCGACTTTAATTAATCTTTGCTTCCTTTCAAAAGTTCTGATGTTACTGACTCTCCTTCACACAGGTCTCCATCTCCAGAACCCATATACAACAGCGAGGGTAAACGTCTTAACACACGGGAATTCAGGACGCGCAAGAAACTGGAAGAGGAGCGCCATAACCTAATAACCGAAATGGTGGGATTGAATCCAGACTTCAAGCCACCTGCTGACTACAAGTAATGTCTAATAATGTAAAACGTATTTTGACAAATGAGAAACACTCAGATGTACAAATATTTGTGTGTAACTAAAAAACCGCAAAGTTACCAATGTGAAAGAGAAGCAAACACATTTATCACTTTTAAATCTGAATCAGAGTTGCATCAATTAATGGTACAATCAAACATGTGATATGCTTATTGTTTACTGGAGTAATCAAGATTTTGGTTCTTATTTTAGATTTGCATATAAAATTTCACTACAATTGTGAATTGTCTGTTTGGCTACTGTCTGGCTTTTTTTGTCTACCAATGGGAGAGAACCCCAGGAAAAAATGAAATTACTAACAGTTAATCACTGAAATTTGTAGACTAAACATGAATAAAATCTTTAACCCCTTAAGGACACATGACATGTGTGACATGTCATGATTCCCTTTTATTCCGGAAGTTTGGTCCTTAAGGGGTTAACCGCCATATAATTACAAAGGCTGAACAAATCCTAGAACTTCAATATATTCTTAAAAATAAAAGCTAATGAGCTTTGGAAAGGCACCATATTCCAGCTATATAACACTGGAATAGCATTAATTAGGTTGAAGAGTAACTATGACTTCTGATAGTGACAGTTCCTCACTAATAAATGAAAAACCTGGATTAGGCACTATGTGCAAGGTAATATAAGTCCTTTGGAGGTTACATTAGCTTATGTTTGTAATCATTCAAGTTTTAAGACTTGTAAATTAAATTGAACTGTCTGTTCATTTTGGCTGGATGTCTCAGATACTTAGTGTTGAACCGAATAACAAGTGTAAATTAGCAATATAACTGTAAATGGTATATTGGTGCTTTCCTAATTACTTGAAGCTGTATGTATACACAATATTTGATATAAAGTGTAATACTGGAACAATGGTGAGAGATATGTATCATACATGCACACTTTACATTATGTAATTCTGTAATACAAAAAAAAGGACCTTACCTTTACATCTTGATGTTCCAATCATATGTTTTCTTTTTCTTTTTTCAGACCACCAGCTACCCGTGTCAGTGATAAGGTCATGATACCGCAAGACGAGTACCCAGAGATTAACTTTGTTGGTTTACTTATTGGACCGAGGTATGCAAGTTGTATTTGCTCTAAATAAAATGGAAATCTATCATAAAGAAACACGATAGGATCTGAAATAAACGTATATATCATACCCTATAGTGTTAAATGCACTATTTAGCTGTCCTGACCTTCCTTTACCCTCATATTTTTTTATTCCTTTATTCATGCGCTCTGTGGGCCTGCTGACGCTGGCCCTGATCAATCACCTTAGCTAAGATCATCAGAATTAAAGATCTCAGCCAGTCTAGTACCAATCAACATCTTCTAATAAAGATGCATTGACACTGCATCTCTGAGTAAAGTTCAGTGCTTCCATGCAGAGCGTGGAGACGCTGTACGACCCTAGAAGTACCTATAATGGCTGTCTGAATGACTGCCACTGGAGGTTTCCCTAGGGAGCCATGTAAATGCTGCTTTATCTTTGAAAAGGCAGTGTTTACAGCAAAAATCCTACAGGGATACTCGCCAGAACTACATTAAGCTATAATTCAGGTGACTAGTGTCCCTTTAATTTATATGCTTCGGATATGGCTTGTATTTTGTATGTTTCTAGAGTCACTCTTTGGTTTAATTATTTCAAGATGTTGGATACAAGGTTTTTCTTGTGTTTAATGTGAATCATAAACTTTCTTACTCTGTGCGGCCATTAAACAATCATCTGTTCTTTGCAGAGGAAACACACTAAAGAATATTGAGAAAGAATGTAATGCGAAAATTATGATCAGAGGCAAAGGCTCCGTGAAGGAGGGAAAGGTGGGTCGGAAGGATGGGCAAATGCTTCCTGGTGAGGATGAGCCACTACATGCCTTGGTAACAGCCAATACTATGGAAAATGTCAAGAAAGCAGTAGACCAGGTAATTGCCAAACCTTTTTTGTTCACACTTGCGTTAAGTATTATTGCATTCTGTTTATCAGGCTTTCTTCTGCAGTACTTTGTGACTCAAATTTGCTCTTCAAATGTATTGATCGCTGTAGTAGGAAAAAACATCTGTAGCTAAGAAATCCAGGCCCATAAAAGTAATGTGTTTATACTTTGTCTTCTATTCCTAGATCCGTAATATCCTGAAACAAGGTATAGAGACACCTGAAGATCAGAATGACTTGCGTAAAATGCAGCTTCGTGAATTGGCAAGACTCAATGGAACGTTAAGAGAGGATGATAACAGGTTGGCTAATTTATGGGGATCATTGTAAAGAATCACCCATACCCTCACTTCCAGTTTAATGCTGTATCTTTTGTTTTTAGAATCCTGCGTCCATGGCAGAGCACCGAAACACGAAGTATCACCAACAACACCCTGTGCACAAAATGTGGAGGTGCAGGGCACATTGCATCTGATTGCAAGTTTAACAGGTATCATTTCTGGCAAGCAAATTGTACTTCTAAGTATTTGTAATTCTGTATTCACTAGTTTTACATGGTTAGTAAATGTACTCAAATCTGAATCCTTACCATCAGTAATTTTGAGTATTGAATGGCTATTTTTACATCTGATGCGGAGAGAAAATTGTGTGGACAATGGTTTTGATTAGTCAGGACAACGTTCTCTGTATTTAATGACTGTAGGTTGATTATGCCTATTGAGTGCATGCATAATTTTAAACATATTGGTGTGCCTGTTATTTGACTTTTTTATTTTTTGCATAAATGTTTATTTTCAGTGTTCCCGTACGTCCGGGAGAGCCACAATCTGCGCAGGACAAAGCAAGGATGGATAAAGAATACCTGTCACTGATGGCAGAACTAGGAGAGGCCCCTGTCCCAACATCCATGGGACCAACCAGTACTCAATCCCATAATTCCATTCAAGGAGCACCGCGGCCCACTGGGATGACAGGAAGCCAACCTCTTATGGTAAGCAAGAAACTACCCTATTGTACTTTTCAAGTGTTCCATTAATATTAACCTGTTCACCAATTCCTGTATTTGGGTGACTTCATGTCATATCCACACATTAAAAAATGCTTTTTTAAAAATTTTTTTATTAAAGCTTTATGCTTAAAGGACCACTATAGTGCCAGGAAAACATACTCGTTTTCCTGGCACTATAGTGCCCTGAGGGTGCCCCCACCCTCAGGGACCCCCTCCCGCCCGCCTCTGGAAGGGGGAAAGGGGTAATAACTTACCTTTTTCCAGCGCTGGGCGGAGAGCTCTCCGCCTCCGATCCGCCCCGCCGGCTGAATGCGCACGTGCGGCAAGAGCTGCGCGCGCATTCAGCCGGTCTCATAGGAAAGCATTTACAATGATTTTCACAGTGAGAAGCACGCAAGCGCCTCTAGTGGCTGTCAATGAGACAGCCACTAGAGGATTAGGGGGAAGGCTTAACCCATTCATAATTATAGCAGTTTCTCTGAAACTGCTATAATTATGAAAAAATGGGTTAACCCTAGCTGGACCTGGCACCCAGACCACTTCATTAAGCTGAAGTGGTCTGGGTGCCTAGAGTGGTCCTTTAAGTGCAACTCTTGCTGAATGCAAGACTAAATCTTATTATAAGATGCTACTAAACTATTTTCTTTTATGCTTTTATGGCTTGTTTCCTCGAACAAGGAATGCTACATAACGAACATACCACTTATTTTACATATTCCCTATGCAGAAGAAACACTAAAACCAAATGCTTGGAATTTTATTTCCTTGATTTATTCATTGAAACATGTTCTAATTAACTTAATTTCTGCTGTAAGATATTTATATGTAAACATTCCCTAACCTAATATATGCATATTCCTACCCAAGTATACAATATTTAGTATACCTGAAAAGATCTACTAAGGCAATCCATAAACACTCTGGCTGTTCAGCTGTAAAATATATAATAAGCTCTTGATGAGTAATATAACTTAATGTGTGCTGTAACTAACATGTATTCGAGTATTCTGATTCTTTTGTTCATTTTCCTGGAAATGTAACTTGCAAAATGTGATTAATGTCTGTTGGGGCAACAAGAAATTCTTTGCATGTTTAAACTTAAATTTTCAATGTATCCTTTACTTATAGAACAGACCTCCATGGATGGCCGCAGATCGACCATATCCATCAATCCATGGAGCCCCCCACTCTTTCCCTCATCCCATGGGTGCTGCTGGGAATGGTCCTCCTCTCCAGCACAATCACAATCCACAACACCATTGGATGCAGCCTCACCCTGGAACTCATCATCCTAGTCCTCATATGGGTAAGTTAAATGGACAGTTTAGGTTGCTTACCGCACCATAACTGCACCTAAATGAAATTTTTATGGTGCCAGGAAGCTGCCATACACACTTATATTCAGGGGTTAAACCTTTCCCAAAGGGTTTACCCCAAAGTTCCCTCCAGTGCTGGTCTTCCTCTCTCCCCCAGGTGACATCTGTGAGCTGTCAACTGATGTGCTCAGCTAATCGGTGACACCCCAGTCATAAAACTGGCTTGCAAAAGGTAATTTTTATTGCTAGCCAGTTTTGTGAATGGGGAGTGGAGACTGGTTCTGTAGGAATCTTTGGGGTTAAACCTTTCAAGAGTGGTTTAACCCCTGAAGGTGAGTGCGCTGTCATTTAGATGTTCCTTTGGTGCCTGGAGTGCCACTTTAAGTGCAATGTTTCCAGCTGTCTTGGACACACAATGTTTCATTCGGTGCCAATGTTTTTTTCTTAAAGGTCTCTTGCACTCTCACCCTATGGGTCTGATGCCGCCACCTCCACCACCACCTCCAAGTGGTCCTGCACCACCACCTCCACCATCTGCTCCCTCCTTACCTCCATGGCAGCAACAGCAGGCCACAGGTGCACCACAACCAGGTGGTCCCCTTCCTTGGCAGCAGAGTAAGTGACATTTTTTTTTCAAACCGTTGGGATGGGAAAAGATGTGATGTTTGCACAACCTTTTCAGAGAGGGCCAGATGACTTCTAATCAGGTTGAATCTTTGAAGTGGTGTTCCTTGTTTTTCATCTCCTCTCAGCTTTTCCTATTTCCCCTCTGATTTGCCTCCCACATGTCAAGAGGCTGGAAGCTCTTTAAGGAGCTTCTGTTAACTCCTTTGAGCCGAGATCTGCAGTGTAGAATCAACTCACTGGCTAATATCAACTGAATGTTCTCAGACAATATTTGCTAATGGCGTGAGTAGCCGTGGTTATGGTTTTTGGCATGTTCCTTTAAAAGTAGGTCAATATACTTAATGTACTGCTTAACTTTTTCCCATACTTTTGACATAGTTCATGTCCTGTATTGTATCATAAAGTCCTAGATTACTTATCTTGCTTCTCATCTTATCTCCATATACTTAGTGTTATTCACTAAACCTCATATTTTTCCATAATTGTGACCACAGTCACAATTTGCAGACTTGCAGTCAGGATTCAGTGAATTCTACCTATGGTGTAAAATTTGTTTGGAAGCATTCAGGAAATCTGTAATATCTGCATCTGAATGTAAAGCACATGAAATGAAGGTTCATTATTGACTGCATGGTGGCTAAAGGCTATACTATACTTTCACTTTAGTATGTGGAAGGGGGATATTCTCTTGCCTGGCCTCCCCAATGGACGACAAGTAATGGAACCTAATATTGCAAATGGGGAAGGGGGTGATCCTAGTGTGTTCTGTCCAGCGGGCTGGGGCCCTAAATTACAAAATTAAGGGTCACAAATCCCCACCCATTGCAGGTGGGGACATATGGATGTTTAGAATTTCCATTTTAGGAGTATTGGTGGTCTTATTGACCCATTTGAGATTTATTTAGTTTTATTTTATTTTTTTAAAGTGCTGTCCAGTCAGCACATAAGTAACTCGCATGCATATAATATAACTAATCTGACACTTCCCTGTTGCTGTATCATTATGTATATATTTGCTAGCACAATGTATATCAATCCTTTACTTGGTACACCTACTGGTTTGCTCATTGCAAAAGTGCCATGTAGGCTCTGCACTAGAAAAGCGGATGCAGTTTCAATTTCTTAAGTTGTCTTCTGTTAAACTTCCAAGCTTTCCAATACAGAAATCTTAAATTTCCATGACAGAAATCTCAATTTCTGTTCTACTTTGCATACTCTCTCATTCAGTAATATGCATTCTAGATGACAACTATGTTTTCTCCTCAGGCTCGGCAACGACAGGCTCTGGTTCGGCTTCTCTCCATCCATGGCAGCAACAGCAAGGCATAGGCACAACTTCATCCAGCACCTCCATGCAGACAACAGTTTCCCTTGTGCCACCACCCCCTGGAGTCCAACCCCCATTGCCTCCTAGTGCTCCACCACCACCTCCTCCGCCTCCTCCTGGAACATCTGGCCTCCTGTATGCCCCTCCCCCTCCACCACCACCACCCCTTGACCATTCTAACTTCGTCACTATGATGGGCATGGGTGTTCCAGGAATACCTCCATTCTCAATGCCTCCTGCCCCACCACCACCACCACCCCAAAACTGAAGATAATCATCCATCCAATTTAATGTCAGTTATGCACTTGATTTCAAAATGTATGTATTAAGTCATTTCTGTAATGAAGGACTCTACCTCCTTCCTGTCTGGGAACTGATGATAGCAGTGTTTATCCACCCTTCTGATGTGGTTCTCCTATATTTTTTTTTTAAATACATCTACATCTTACAAATTTCATTGAATTAATGAATGTGTGAATTGCCTCTCTTTCGATCTATATGCAACGGTAATATTGTGCTTCAGAAGTGTTATTTTTCAGATAAAAGCAAACAGTGTTTTCCTTTTCCTATTCTAAATTAGTGGGAAGCATAAAAGTGCCCCTTAAAAGATTTGATTTGTAATGAATTAATAAGGTTCTACTTAGATTGATCCTTGCCTGCATTGGTATGAATCTGTTGTATACTTTATCTAATTTAAGATTGGAATATGGCTAGTGATCCCCTCCCCCCCTTTTTTTTTTCCGCTTCCAATATGTAGTTTACCAGTGAGTTTATTCTTGCAACACTCCTCTTCACTTATGCTTCTCATAGTGGATATTTTTAAACTGCCCTCATTTAAAGGGAAAATATATCTGAAAATTATGTATATAATACATAGTCTGGTAGATTTTTATGGACCATACCTGGAATCAGGGTCGTAAAGATAACTGCTTGGTTAGTTGGTCTGATATTTTGATGAAATCGGATATATCACTGCTGTGATGTACTTGTAACCATGAGTGTTTAGACTGCTGGAAAGCTTCGGAAGCAATCTCAACAGAAACTAGTTTTGAATAGTTTGCTTCTGCAATCCTATGCATGGTGTGAGAAAGGAAAGTTTGCTCACTTTTTAAGTCACACCATGTTGGTAGCAAAAATCCTATTCTCAGTGTGACTTGTAAACTGGCATCAAGCATTTTTTTTTTTTGTCCATTAATTGTCATTAAAGAAACCTGCCATTAAGCCTTCATTAAAGTTCGACATGCTTTCCTTTTAATGAAACCTATATTTCCATTGTGGTAGACACACAGTAGATCATATTAACACAATTGTCAAATTACTCAACCTGGTAGCTTTGTCAAAGTCGATTGTCTTGAGGTAAATACATGCATCTTCCTTCTCAATGTGAAATACCTTGAGAGAAGAGTTTGTGTTCTGGCAGTCTTTGTAGCATTTAGGTAAGGGGTCAGATATGCTGCACCTTTTGCTTGCTTTTTTTTGTCTGGTTAGTCTGTAATTGCTTCTTACGTTAAAAGTTTGCTTTTGAAAAAACGAAACTATTGCTTGAGGATTAAGAAGCTCTAAATAGCATTGGTCAATGCCAGCGTGGGAAGTTTTTCTACATACAAAATAGTATTTCTTTTAGATTGAAAGTTTCACTCCTCCATAATGGAGTAAACTTTGGTAGCGTCATGTTTTTCTTTCAGAAGTGCAGTTAGGTAAACTTGAAATTTGAATGGGGTGTGTTGCTTGTAGTATTATTCCAGCCAAAACAAACTAATATTCTAGTGCCGAAGCCACGATCTTACAGAAGCCTGATTTTGCTCCGTTTGAGGGAGAGTTGAGGGGATGATGTGGGTGGAGCCGCACAAATTTGTACAGAATTGATATTGGCCAAACCAAGAGTTATACATCAGTATGTCCCATATTTCTTAAGTTAAATGCTGCACATGTGTTTCAGGCACCTTCAAATAAAAAATTACAATTATGGTGCTTAAATAAGGAAAAACATTTTTTTATTTTTTTTAATTCTGTTATGTAGAAAATAAAACTTAGGGCCTGTAGATTTGCAAATACAGCTGGAGACTGTTTGTGTTACAATTGAGGGAAGCTGGTTTAGTGTATAGATCATGTCCCTGCAGTCTCATGGCTCAGTCCTCTGACATTTATGGTCTTCTATGCTGTCGTTAAGGGGCCGGTTGTAAATGCCGGTGGGCAGCATAAAATGTCCCCAGCGGCAGTCGCGATCCTGTGGACTGTCTGTGCGCCCAGTCGGTTTTGGCCCTCTCAGGTCATGTGATCACAGGGTCCTTGTGATCACAGGGTCCTTGTGATCACATGGCCAGAATGGCTGCCTGCAGGCCTATAAGGTTTAAGTGTATGTGTATTATATATACTATTATCATTCTAAGTGTATTTTAGTTTTATATATAATTATATATTAAAATAGAATTAGAACAATGTTAATTATATATACATTTTAAAAAATATATATAATTTCGTTCTAACTGTATTTTGAAAATATATATACATCAAAATACATTTAGAATGAAGGTCTGTCTCTCTGCGCCTGTCTATATTTATGTAATTTTTTTTACATAATTCAAATTTGAACGACCTGCCTGGCAACCCATTTAATTTCCAAGTCCTATATTTAACCCTGTAACTTTCCAAAACTCCATAAAACCTGTACGTGGGGGTACTGTTATACTCTGGAGACGTCTCTGAACCCAAATATTAGTATTTTAAAACTGTAAATCGTATCACATTCATAAATATGAATGTTAACTTTGGGCAGTGTTTGTTACTAAGTGGCTACAAATATAGACTGACATAACCCATATTGAATACCATGGGTTGTTAAACCAATCAGGCAAAATGGTAAACTCTATCTGATTCTGTAACTTTTGAAAACACCATTAAACATGTACATGGGGGTACTTTTATACTCTGGAGATTTCGCTGAACACTAGTGTTGTAAAAGTATCACAAATATCGTCCGTGAAAGTTTGGTCCCCCCCTCCTATTTTTCACACACAAACTGCACTTTTGCTGACAATTGGTTATGTTGCTTTTGAGACCATATGTTTGCTTAGGACTGAGAATTACTCATATAATGGCATACCATTTCCAAAAGTAGACAACTCGTGTTATTACAAATGGGGTATGTCAAGTATTTTCTAATAGCCATTTAGTCACAAACACTGGCAACACTGCAATAAAGGAAGTTTAAACATTAGATCAGACTTTACAGGAAGTGTTTAGGAAAGCTGTGAAAATCGCAAGTGCAGGGTGTGAGTTAGGAATGAATAAACAAATGCAGTTAATGTTTCTCAAAGAAGCAGTGAGTTAATGGAGTGCAGAGATTGAGGCACATTTGTTTACTGCTGCTCTGAGATATCTAGGTGAGTCATCAGAACTAATCATCAGAGAAAGGTATGAGTATTCCTTGTTTTACGACAGACAAGAATTGAGTTTATCAAGGTTTGGTCATGGGTCTTTACTTGTTAATGGACTTTAATTCCAAAATTGGGCACTTGTAGATAAAAGCAGACTTTTATTGAGAACGGAGCACATGAACTGTGTGATTTGTGTTTCAACTACATTGGTAGTAAATTTGCCACTGCACTCGAGAGGCATCTTAGGAAGACTATTACTTCATTGATTTATGTATACAATTTTTCATTTTGTTTCTATATTCTTGATTTGGACTTGCTTTGCATGAGGCAAAGCTAGGTAATTCATCTTCCACTCCCTGGACAAGTAGCATAATTTATCCAAATCTCTCAGGAAAAATTTCTTCTAGGAATGGATATGTAATTTGGTATGAGGAACACACAACTACCTTACCCTAAATAAGACTGACTATAACAAGAAAACAGAGTAAAGGGTGGAAATAGTTAGATTGCACATAGTTGAAAGACAAAGTATACCACGCCCATTCTTGGTGTACAAATATAAGTACATTGGTCTTTGGGTTGTTCAACCCAGTTGACCTCAAAATAAAAATACACAATAATAGTTCAGAACAATATGGTATATAAAAGTATGCTTAAATTATTACACTCACATTTGTTAAAGCTAATAGAGCTCTGCTGTTTTGTGCATGAATGTATAATCCCCGTCTTAGGATATATGTAGATCCAACTGACACAGATGCTCCAGAAAGACTGCAGGATATGTCAGTGATGGTTAACCTTGACACCATAAATAGTTTCTGGTCTACATTTCCCATGATGCTCCGCTAGCTGTTAGACTCTAAAAGCTAGCTGAGCATCATGCGTAAATGTAGTCCAGAAACAATTTATGGTGTCCCTGTTGGTCATCACTTATGTGAAGGTAAATTCAGAAAACTCCAATGGTGAAGTAAGAACTTATTAAAAACCATATGGAACTAAAGAATTCTTACATTTTCTAGAGCAGGACTTGCTCTAATGTGAACTGTAAGAGTGGTTTAATCGCTACCTAAGGATATGCTGGCACCAGGAAAGAAGGAAGGGTGGGAGAGGGAAGAGACAACTATACATTTCAAAGGATTCTATAAAGAAGTACCACATAACCATGGCAAACCCCACGAACCGCCGCAGCTTGGTTGAGGTGTTGCTGTCTCCTACCCACCCTGGACCTACGGCGAGGCTCCGGGTTCCAGGAAGTCAAGCAGGAACAGCTTTTCCAAGAGCTTAGTGATTATTCTCAAATCCCCCCCAAACATGAGCCGAAACTTCATGTTCAAAAACAAAACTTCAAGGTGCAAGATGGTCTGAGCTTTCATGGTTCAGGTTGGCTTTTATACAATTCTCCAGGCCAGAGGAACACCCTCTGGACCTGATGGGGCACAGGAACACAGAGGACATAAACCAATCAGAACAGACATACAGTCTGTGACATGCCCATGTACAGAATACAATCCCCCCCCTGCTTGGGAGATAATTGAGTAAAGTCCTGTAAGCAGAAAAAACACAATTTCACAAAGTTCAGAAAGTACTCCAAAACATAACATACCCCCCAAAAATGTTACCACCCCGGATAGCCCTGATATGTGTGAACAACATATCCAAAAATCACCCAGATCAGAGCAGGGGTTCAAAAGTTTCCTGGAAGTCTCTTTTTGACCGGCTGCAAGCATGGTTTCATGCCCCGAACAGTTCCAGAGAATCAGGGCGTGTGGCCGGTCTAGTTCGGTAGTTTGCAAACAAACTACCGAAATGAGTCAATAGTCTTACCCTGGAGCTTGTTACCTTCATCCAGACGGATGATCTCACCGAACAGTGCCCTTCTAAGCTGAATAGAAACGAACGCAGGCGATGATGGAAGTTCAGCGGTGTTCAGGAGTTTCTGTATCTGATTTCAGTTCCATGAGATTCATGCCCAAAACACCACTGTCTGCATTCATGTGAACAAGGTGGTCGCTCATAGGAATCGCGGCCACCCAGACGGACAATTAGAACAGTGTTGAGAAATGTTCCAAGCTGTTAATAGGTGTTAACAAGCTCCAGGTTGGTCTCTGTTCGTGCGGTTGTTCGGTAAACGAACCATATAGTCCCAATTGCACGAACAGAGCCTGTTTGGAGTATATTAGCCAGTTCTATTTCAGGGGCCCTAGTCACAGGGTAGGAGGCTGGCAAACAGGCCCCTCCAAAAATTTGTGGCAAACTCACAGAAAAAGGAGAGTTTGTCACACATCTTCCCTTCCCGGGGGAGACCAACCAGGTACCTGAGCTTCTGTCGGTCAGTACCTGAGTTAGTCGACCAGCCCAACCACAACCAAGTACTGGACCTGTAGTTCTCGGGTGTCCAGCTTTGTCCTGTCTGTCCCAGGCTGCAGAGGGCACGTCCGCTGCCTATGATCCCCCTTGTGCTCCCAGGCATGGTACTTGGTGGGAAGAGCTTCTGCTGGGGTGGCCTGCAGGTATTCAGGCCCTGAACAAAGGAGCTGTTGTGGAGAGGAGGGATCGCCTACCTCCTCCTCCTGGCATTCCTGCTGGAGCTCCAGTGCTGCTGGAGAGTGAGACTGACCGTTTCCACTCCCAATAACTTGTTCTGCCGTTGGGGAGAGGGACCGGTTGTCTCCCCTCCCTGGAGGATAATCTGCCGCTGGGGAGAGGGACCGAGTGTCTTGACTCCCGGTAAAGATGCAGACAATCTCCTCACCCTGCCGCTGGGGAGAGAGACTGACTGTCTCTTCTCCCAATAACACACTGCCGCTGGGGAGTCAGACCGAATGTCTCCACTCCCGGTAAAGCTGCTTGGTGCTAATGTTTGCTGCTGCTGGGATGAGGGACCGACAATCTCCTCTCCCGGTAATACTGTCTGCCGCTGGGGCGAGAGACCAGTTGTCTCCTGTCCCTGTAACACCCTCTGTCGCTGGGTAGTCAGACCGACTGTCTCGACTCCTGGTAAAGCTGCCTGGTGCTGAACTGCTTGTTGCTGCTGGGATGAGGGACTGACAATCTCCTCTCCTGGTAATACAGTCTGCCGCTGGGGAGAGGGACCAGTTGTCTCTCCTCCCTGTATGGTACACTGCCGCTGTGGAGTACTGTCCCTACTCCCTGTAACTCCGGCTGTAGCTGGGGATCTGGGCCGGCTGCCCAGCATTCTGTAGGGCCGGTGGAGAGACCTCGGTCCCATCTCCACCTGCTGTCTGGAGGTCATCCCAGGACCAGTCTGAGGTCCCCCACTGTGGTAGCTGGTAGGGAAGATGTCCTCCGTGATGCCGATATCAATGTCCTCCTCCAAGGCATCCCATAGTAAACCAGGGCTGTCATAATCATCACCCTCGGGCCAGTCATGCTCGGCCGTCTAGGGTGTATGTTGAACGTATACCACCATAGGGCCTGGTATGCGTTGTCTAGCCAAATCTCCTGCCATACCAGGGTCTCTAGTCTTGTCACCCACTCATCCAGGGGCTGCTCTCCCAAGAGATACGTTCGCATCGCCACACGCTTCTGTAGCCGCTGCTCATCACTGGGAAGGCTCTCACTCCTTCCGCTGGGCATCCTCCAGAACCTATACCAGACTTCCTTCCAGTCTGCCCCTGTATTCTGCGGCCGCCTCATCATGGCATGCTGTCCGGAAACTAGCTGTAGCCAGGGGCACTGTACGGATACTAGCGTTGCCCTCAATTAGAATTTATACGATACCGGTGTCTCCAGGATGCTTCTAGGAAGCCATCCCACCGCTGCAACCAAATGTGACGGAATTACTGCACCCCGACCGGGTACCAACGTCAATCGCTGCTTCCTAGTACTGACGAGTACCATAAGCACTGTGCTGGAGCACCATAACCACTGCAAACCCCATGAACCGCTGCAGCCCTGGGCCTACAACAAGGTTCCAAGTTCCAGAGAGTAAAGCAGGAACAGCTCTTACAAGGGCTTAGTGATTATACTCAGGGGAGTATAGTGATTATAGTAATCCCCAGAGTGTAGTTCTCCAATCCTCCAAACATGAGTCGAAACTTCATAAAGGTGCAAGATGTTCTGAGCGTTAATGGTTCAGGTTGGCTTTTATACAATTCTCCAGGCCAGAGGAACATCCCCTGGACCTGATGGGGCACAGGAACACAAAGGACATAAACCAGTCAGAACATACAGTCTGTGACACGCCCATGTACAGCGCACAATCCCTCCCCTCTGCTTGGGAGATAATTGAGTAAAGTCCTGTACGTAACTCAATTATCTCCAAGCAGAAAAAACACATTTTCACAAAGTTCAGAAAGTACCCCATAACATAACATTCCCGGATAGCCCAGATCTGGGTGAACAACATATCCAAAAATCACAAAGATCAGAGCAGGGTTTCAAAGGTTTCATGGAAGTCTCTTTTTGACCGACCGCAATCCGGAGACGTGGAGTAGGCCCAGTGGCGTACACATGATCCATGGGGCCCCGGTGCGAAAATTGATCCGTGGGCCCCCCCGCGCGGGTCGGGGCCGCAACACATGGCGGCGGGCACCTGGTCGCAGGGGTTGCAG